TTGCTGTGATTTGTTACTTTCAGATATACTATATAAAATTAATCTCGTTGTGATTGGACTATTTTTCCGTAAAAATAAAGATTATTATTATTAAAAGCTCAGCGCGATTTTCCAAAGGGTGAAAACGTCCTCGTTTCTGGTCGAGGAGATTAGTAGGACGGATTCGGCCAATACTGCGGATGAGCTGATGTTTATACGGCCCTATATAACTATTTTTAACCGTCAGATGACGATGACGGAGGCGACCGCGGCGGGTTATACGAGTTAAGGTCGTGCGCGGGGTGTACAGTCAGGGGTGCGGGGGTGAGAGTATTGATTGGGCGCGCCTCTCCTCCCCGGCCGGCTGGCAGCGCGGTGTTCACCCCACACGGTCGAACTGCGACCACCACTGCTTCATCACCGTTGGAGTGTTTGTCTGTGCCGGGGTACCCCAACGTCAGCGGCACCGGCTCACCCTTTGTTCGCGCCCTCCGCCGGTTAGTCTCCCCACGACCCTTATCGCGGAGACGACATAGCGCAGGGGTTGTTACACTGCACCTTTGGTTGCGGCAGAGAGAGAGAGAGAGAGAGAGAGACACGTCCCTAGGTCGGGAATCGTCGAGCGTGCATACTTGCATATTATTTTTCGTACAAAGTAAATGCGTTTTATCGTTTTCGCAAAAACCGCGCCGAGCATATTCAATATTTTCCATACAGTACACATGCAATCGAAAACGCCAGCCTAAGAAAATTGGATAACACGTTACTGTCAATAAGTCTCAATCCAATAAGTTTCGATCGAGGAATCTTATTTACGCAGGACAATTTAACCAAGTACAATATATATATATATATACATATATTATTACAAGAGCTATAGAAGTGAATAGACTTTTAAGGTTAACTTACAGCCAATGTTCAACTGGTTAAGAAAAATAATAATGGTCACATAATGTCTCGCATTAACGCACACGATTAAGAGGCGACAAAATCTCTAGAAATTTCCATTGAATTTTCAGTAACAAAAAATCAAATTGACCTTAATCGTTTTCTATTCTTAAAAACGATATTTTATTTTATTTTATTACCATACAAAACATTAGTCTCGGACTGTCGCGTTGCGGACTAACGAGTTTCATTGAAATTACCGTAAAATAATTGTTATTGCAATGTCGATTACTTTATATTTTCTCACAACCCATTTTTTCCCCATTTACGGTTTTGTATTTTTATTGATTTTTCACTTTGTTCGACTATATCAACAACGAGTTGTGTGTCGAACAAACAGTATTGGTAAATAATTGACATTTTGCTTGGTCGTCAAAAAAAAAAAAATGCTTTTTTTACTGGCTAATACATTTTTAATTTGTTTGTCGTTCATTTTTTTTTTCCACTATACCTACGCAAACATAATTATCGATTGTGATAGGTAAAAACATATGTATATATATTTATGCACATTTAGCTTTGTCGCGGTGCTTTATAGGTTTTTTTAACTGCTGGTTTCCACTGTGCTGGAATCTTACTACTATCCACAGATTCGGATCGAAGGGTCGTCGCTGATTGTGATGAAATCACTTTCAGATTTAATAACTATCTATTGCTTCGACCCATCTTTGCCCCCCCCCCCCCAACTTCTTACACTGTACTCGTTTATACCGTGCTCGGTTTCCGGACTGCACCGGTTCAGACCGAGCTTGCGGTTGGCAATACACGATTGACGGAGACGGTGAAAAGCGTTTGTCGATTTGCCCGGGGATTGCGTTATGGACACTTAATTTGGGCTCGTTTGTCATCGACGGGCGGTCCGTGTACATGCCTCTCGGTTATAGGCGGCCGGCAAACCGTGTGTGTGAGATTGCCAATAAAGCGACTGTAAATCACCGGGTCTCGGATTTGTTTCTTTCCCTACCACCTTCCCCCCCTCCCCCCCCCTCGTTGGTCTCGCAAAAATTACACGACGTTAAGCAGCATCATCTCTTGTGGTGTTTTACACGGTATAAGACACAAACCGTTTTATTGGCCGCCCGTAGGAGACGACTGGGGCCAAGAAAGGGGTCGTTAGCTTTTGTTTTTTTTTGTGATTTTTTTATAAAACTCTAGGTGCAACGACGATGTCGTCCGAGAATTAAAGCAGCTGTACATCCTCGTACACGCCACCGCGGTCTTTCCATTATTTATAGACTTGCACATACACACACACACACACACACCACACACAAACGGGGCCGGCTTGCTGCTCTACCGGACAGTTATTTTTCTTCTTCTTCTTCTTAATTTTTTTACCGTTTGTTCTTTTTATTATTAACCGCGTCCGCGGCGGTCCCTGATCCGGGGGTGGGGATAAAAATACATTTTCGGAAGATGGGACTAGAAAAAAAAAAAAACGGCGGACGCGCAGCACGCCAAAAGTAAACACGTCCGGCAATGACGTGTGTTTGTTGCTTTTGCCAGACGACCGTGTGGCCGCCGCCAATCACGTGTCAAACAGGACACTAGTCTGAAAAAAATACAAATATTTATACCGTCGGCTTGCCCGTTCTGGCCCCAAGTTTGTGCTTACCCGGTCAAAGTTTGTACAAGTTCAACGCGCCCGGCCGTTTCGATCTCTTGTTGGCGGTACTTGTCCGAAATAATGATTTTATTTTTAATTACTCTCGTCCGGTTCTGACGTCACCGTTGAACTTTCCGGCTGTTGTTTTGATAATTAAAATAATATTATTGCGCGAAGAGACGGACGAATTTTCTATAGGGAAATAATACAACATTATTCCAAGAGGGAAAACGCGTGCATGACATTGTGTAGGAAATCTTGAAAATGTGTGGGTAAGACATTATATTTTGTGTATACAAAGTTGTTGTCGGAATGACAGCGTGTGCGGCTTTGGGAATTTTTTTTTTTTTTTTTGAGAGCGTTTTAAACTGAATTTCGGTATTTAACTTTTCTCGAGTATAAACAAAACTACGAAATTGTAGTTATTTCCAAAGAGAGCGAGTGTGTCTTGCGTTAAATTGATCACTCTGTACACACGCGTGGCGGTCGATCCCACGACAGCTAAATCATTTTAATACGGTTTCGCTCTTGACGGTGTATCGTTTGTCTCGTGTTTTCGGGTTTCCTGCAATTCTCTGGAGTACCGTTTTGTCTGTTTAGCGGTTCGGTCGTCGTTTGTACCGTTGTGTTATAATATATTATAGTATAATATTATTATTATCGTTGCAGCGCGAAACGCACGGTTTAATCCCCGCAGGTAAACCGCAGTGTAATCCGATTTCGCGCCAAGCAGTTAGCCAGACAACCTAATCAATATTATGCACGATGATGTAGTATTGTTTGATGAGAGTTAAATATTTTATTAACGAAATCAGGGCTATCTTCTAAAAGCTCTATGCAGGTACTGGAATAACTATGTATTTGTCTGTCGTCACCGAGAAGACTCTGGATGCGTTAATTAAATTTTATTAATCTTGCCGCCGAAACTCTGTGTTCCTTTAATTTCACATATATGTAGGTATATATGGTACGATCTTAAGCTCTTCGGCTGGGTTACGCAGTAGGTTTAAATGGTGTTTTCGCGGAATCGTTAAAACTCATCTTAATGTGTATCGCTTTTGTTTATATTTTATGAGCGCATCCTATCTCGAGTAATACCCCCTAAGCGTGTGTATGATACAACATGTACAACATATTATGTAATTTAAATATTCAGTACCCTCTGTCAAATTGAAATTGATGTTTTTTTTAGAAATGTTCTCTATTATATGAAAAATATCAAAACGATTTTCCGAATAAGACTGGTGTGTTTGTGGTTTTGTTTAACCTAACCTTCATTATTATAGTTATAAACATCTTACAGCTAATAATGCAATTATTTAATGAACATATTATGTACCTACAAATCCAGCACTGTTTATTTTTTTTTTTTTCATTCTTCTAATCTGATGATTTTGGTTGAAAAAAATCTGGTCAGACCTCCCTTAATGATGTACATTTAGCCGGACTTGATTTATTTTATATTCCTGTTGTGTGTAACCGATAAACATAATATTATCACGGGGGGCGTACTAAACAAATACACTGCTTTATGATTAATTATTTTTTACGGGTTTTGATTTTGTTGAAACGACACCAAAATATTAATAACTGGCACGTTGACGGCGCAAATTTATTGATACGTTCACATTTAAATAGCTGTTACCATTATTATATAATGCATTGTATTTGAAATAATAATAAATGATACATATCGACCCGAAGGGAAACAATAACGTTCACGTGTCCGCGAATTGTGAATTATTTGCTTTTTAGCAAACATTTTACATTGACTTTCCGGTTAACTGATGTGTGTATATATATATATATACATAAGTAATTGGATTACAACACAATACAGAGCTCAGTTTTCCGGAAAAGTAGTCTTGGATGTGGCGCTATATAACATTAAGCTCCTTGTGAATGCAAATGCTAAATAAAGAATAAAGTTCACAAATATAACTAATATCGCATGATCTAAATCATAAATATATTACGCTTTAAGTTTAAATATTACAAACTGGCCTTGTTTGCGCTGCCCTTAAACGATGTTTAGGAGCCGTTGTGCGTTTTATCGCCTGGGCATATCGCCTTTGCCCAATAGTGCATACCTATTAGAGTTTGCATGGATAGCTAACACTCCTGTGTTAGCTTTACGAGGGGTGGACTTTCTCACAACTACTACTACTGGTAATAAACCCCATATTAGGTTACCGCACGTACGAGAAAACCCTATGGCTGTCAAATTTTACGGTCATAAAACTAACGTGCACCGTTAGGTAGGTACGACAAAAGAGTCTCTTTGTCTACTATAAACATGGAACGTTCAATCCCTTTTTCGGGGTGTGTCCGCCGCCTAACCGGAGCTCGAGATAAATGGATTTGTTTGCTCGGTATGGCCTCGAGGAGCACGTTTCCCTCGTCCCCGTTATAAGCGTTCATCGGCAATATTAAAATGTAGAATTTTTTTTTTGTTTGTTCGCAGAATACCCCAAGAAAGTGTACAGTTAAACGGCGACAGTTACCGAAACTTATCAAAGCTGGCTATCGCTACTTCCAAGCTGTATTCCCAGGCTCCGTTACGAGTGTCCACAAGGTATGTGCATTTCAATTCCGTTTTAATATAATTTTTAAAAAAAAACTCACTCGCATATTACTTTGTATGTTACTAAGTATGTACATACTATGTATGTATGTATTATAGGTGGTAACACACAACACGAAACCGACAAAAATGTAACCGTGAAACTTGTGCGTTTCACATTGTTTAGGATGAAAATATAATCATTTTAATGTGTATACATATATTATATATTTTTGAACAGTAAAATTCATACATGTACCGTGGTTTTGTGTTAGGCCGGTGTTACACCTATGACCTCCGCCCTAATTGCGGGACTGATCCGCGTTGAGTATTAAAAAAAAAAATGACGGCGACGACGACGGATCATTTATCGTATTCGTGTCGTTGAGTGGTGGTGGTCGGACCGAATATTCCACAACCCCTGAACGAGGACGGGAATATACTATATATTCCTCTCACTGTCCTGCTATACTACATATGAACACAACCGACAGACGAGCCTCTCCGGCCGTGTCCGTACCTGTTCATGACAGACCCTCTATTTTTCAGCGTTAAGTAAGTCATGCACACGGATAGTAGTCACATCACACTGGCCTGAAGTGCATCGTTGAGATTAAAAAAATATATATATATTTATATATTACATTTTTATGTTGAATTCCGTAGATAATATGTATATATATATATAAATATCTAATACATGTATACTAATAAACGTAGACGTATGTGTAGATATGTATGTATATGAGTTTGCCGTTGATATTACAACATACATTATATATATATATATATATATATATATATATATATAGTGACAGTTGCGGTAAAAGCAGTTTTTTATATAATTATAATAATTTTGTTTTTGTTTTTTTGTTCTTTCATACGAATCGTTATTATTGAAACTTCTTTTGGCCAACGTGTACTTGTGCTATAACATATAGCATGTTGTATTAATATGCGTTTGTAAGTGTGTGTGTGTATATAGCGAGAGTTGGAGATAGAGATTTTTGTAAAACATTCCAAGATATTTAGTATCTAAAACACCAATATAGATAAACTAATAAACGGTTGCAAACATAGTGCGCACATGGCTTTACGACGTATAGGGTCGAGCATATTATATTATATTTTCTTCTTGCATAATATTTCTTCTCTGTTCTATAAACTCTTTGTATTTATATTATTATTATTATCTACTAGTAACCTTTGGTTTAAAATAAGTATTTTTTTTTTATTAGAGTTGTGGTTATTTATATAGTGTTGTTTGAATAGCTCCAGTTTCGTTGGACTCTTGTAAGTTCCACTGTGCCCGTTGCATGCCGTCAAAAAAACGAACACCAATGGCTGAAATCGTTATAATATATATCATTATATGTCTACAGTTTTTTGTAGAAAATAATTACAAGTATGCAATACGGTTCAAAGGGGTTTTTTGCTGTTTCGCGCGTTATTCACACCGGCGATGTGCCTCCGCCTTACTGCATTCTACGCCGTCTGAAACGTCATTTTTTCGTCTAATGCATTATTCAAACACGTTTAATATACACGTGCCTATTCAACAGCCCTTAGGCGAAAGCAATTTTTCTCCGTACACACACTTAATAGTGCGCGTTATGAAAGGTTGCAACTAAAAGCTCCGGGTTTTTATTTCGCAGAGTGAAACGGGCGAGACCACTTGAGAAAACGAGCGTATGCTTTTACGAGGAGGCAGTCATTAAAAGAAAAACTGTTACCGATAAAATATATGAAAAATGAAGTGATGGGTCGGTATGGCTGGTTATTATATACAAGGGAACATAATATACCGGGTGGTGATTTTTATGCGTGTAAAATAAGCCATTTAATAACGCACTACTATATTATCTTGGTTATCATTTCAACTGGTTTCCAATCCAACATATTTGGCCCTCTTTAGCCGAGAGTAATAAAATGAGAAAACCGCAGATGGCAGCAGATGAAATTAATTGAAAGCTGTGTTGTTCTATTATATTTCTAGAAACTGTATCTCCTTAGGTTGGTTGTAGTGCTGCAAAAGAATCACCCTGTATGCTCTGCAAGTTGAATGTATCTCACGCCGTTTCTCGAGAGCAACGTGCGAGGCCATCGTATATTGTTAATTATTTATATCGTCTTGTTCTGTTGCATATCATTATTTTCAACGAGCCTAGAGTGGTCTTTCGACGTATTGTTTCTTTTGATTGCATATTTTGATCGATACGGCGACGTTATATACCTACTGCGAGCACTTGAGGTCGGGGAGACGACGTTGTTGTGTGCGCTGTTTAACGTGGTTCGGTGGAGCGACAAATTGCTGTTGAGCCCTATCAGTATGAAACCGGAGGATCTAAACAAACGTTACATTAATAATGGAAAACCGCAATGAATAAACAAAAGCTCGGTAAATCGAAATGCCGAACCGTTCTATAATGGTGCCGCAATAAGCCTGCGTGTCATATAAATAAATAGCCGAGAACTGCGCAGGGCTACTCCAGAGATTATATTGTTATTATGCTAGTCGACGATTTGTTACAGTTATGATAAAAAAGCAGCGACACACATAGTAATAGCCATTAAAAAGTATGGCGTGTACACCACCGCTCCGTTGAAGATAATATATTATTATAAGCGAAACCCTGTCGTCGTACCATATATAAATAAACGCAAAGTTCTAAAGAGTCTGTCCCCCCCCCCCTTCCCCGGTCGCACGTTATTATCTCCTATCGTTTTGACGGAAAAACACAAGACTCTATTACACGTTTTAGTGTTTATTTAACGCCTGCGCAGACAACGCTCGTGTGTGTACGTTACAATTTGTTCGTTTAACGGTGGCCCTCGCACGGCTGCTATAAATCTCTTGGGACATAAAAAATTACATATTATTTTCGGCCGCCGTCTCTAGCAGCAATCTGCCGCACTAATACTGCTCGTTTAGGTGACCGCCGTTTCAGTGAAATGAAATACACACCATTAACGGTCAGAAGGGTTGTACGTAGGAGCGGTCGCGAATTTACGGGTTCTCGTTGCGTCCGACCAGGTGATATTGTGTTGTATGGTTACTACTACCTATAGTCACACGGCCACGGGGCATTTTCGGCTTAGCCGTTAATCAATTTTCAACTTTACCGGCGCGCTCGTCCATGTGGATTTATCGCGTCCGCCATCCGTTCCGGCGCACACGGTATAATATATTATCATAAGGGGCGACACGGCGGCATTTCCATCCCTTACCGCACCTACTACCCCCGACTTCGATTCGCATACCTAAATAGATTTGGGCACCGGAATGTATTTCTAGATCAACTTGCCGGTTTGCATCGCCTCGGAGATAAGACAACTGCACGCTATCGTCGCTTTTTCGATCAACCGCCCGAGTGGTGAATCCAGAAGGCTTTCGCCCCGGGGACGGGAAGAGAGAACCGGGATTATTGTTCAGCCCATTAAAAGACGGTAACTGCCACCGCCACCACCACCACCACCGTCGACGATGACTGCGCTAAATCAAACGCAGTTTATTTCCTATGACCGTCACACTGCGCTGTTGTATATTGTTTCGGACAGGAAATAATGCCGCCCTCGCCGGGGAAATTTATGTTTATCGCGCGTACCCCTCGCTTCCCCGCCGTCGGTTATACGGTTATATACTCTGCTCCGCCCCGGCAGACGAACATACAAAATTTCGGTACCCCAAACCGTGCTGGTACTAAACGTACACCTACCCCGTGCGGGGCCAAACCAATGACAAAAATACAAGTAGTGGTGCGTGTGTAACCAGATGAGTAACAGCCACCACCCGCAGCCATGCACGGCGGCCTCGTTTATGCGTTACAATAATATATGAAAAAAAGCTCTCTGGTCGTTTTTCCAAAAGTTGTTTTTTTTTTTAATATTATCAAAAGTTCATTTACAATCCGTTTTGATTTCGTTCTCGGCAAACGGGCAGTCCTTTTTTTTTTGAGAGATTTGAGAGATAGTCGTTTTTAACTATTTTTAGCGCTAATTTTACCACTTGTACCATTGTTTACGGAGACCGTCACGCCAATGAATAATTAACGGTTTGGCCGTTCGCCGGGGATCGATAACTTGATAAACGGTTAGAACTTCATCGCACGACGTCGGCACAAAAGCAGCTCTTGTTAAAAAAAAGGTTTTGTTCGAATGCGTTTCGACGGTTATCGCGGACGCGGCCTTGTGCCAAAGCGCTTTTTTCTTGTCACGATTTCTTCGACAAGGCAATTATTCGTGTACGAGAAAACCCTTAAAAAAGACAACAATATTCCTTCAGAACATCATTATCATGCGGGCAACAACAGCGGCAATTGTACACTTTTCTATTTCGTCTGAACAGACCGCCGCAGTCACCGTGTGCGGTAGACAATGTCGCGGTGTGCATAGGCGAAAATCAAAAAAACCATTATGCGATCGTTTCCTTATAATGACGTCTCGTTCCCGGCATCTGAACCGCGACGGCCACCAGAATATTTCCAGGAGTGTTGGTCGACACAATAATAACCGTGATAGTGTAGTATAAAACGCTATCCGGAACAAAGCGCCCTCGGCTGTCGAACCGCCCCATAATATTATATCTACTTCCTCTCTATCCACCATCTACGTCCGGTGTGTGTGTGTGTAGGTATCCGTTACACACACACACACACGACCGGAACCCGTACAGAAATGTATACCCTACAACGTATCGAGTGTCCCCCGGGGTCCCAGAGCTGATATGAACCGAGTGTACCAAACTAAGAGGCGCACTCGCGGTAATCGTTCAACGCGAAACTCTTGGAAACCGCGGTGTACGTGTCGTCGTCGGGCAGAGTGCAAGTGGGGAAGAAGTGGGTGGTGCATATTATCTACAACAACCGTGCATTATAGTAGTGTATATACGGCCTCGTTGCTCGTTAATCCCCGGACGGTATTTTATATTAATGCGGCAAATCGAGAAAGAGTAACACGCGCGCAGGCTAGCTGGCAAATTTTCCGGTTGGATGCCAGAAGGCACGCTATGGTGGTGCATTCTAATCCATCGGCAACGGCGGCCGTCTGACCTGAGGGGTGGTATTCTTCTTCGCCGCCGCACGCTTTTAATCCCTTCGCCGGGGAAAACCGGAGCCAAAAACGTCACGGCCCGTCTATTACCCCACTACAGACTCTTTTTTTTTTTTTATACAACACAAGATATACATCTCTTTTCCTCCCAATGTGTGTGTGTGTGTGTGCTTGTCCCTATATATATATATACATGCTTCGTGCACCTGCAATGCGCCAAAATTGATTTCTCTATGTGCGCGTTTAACGCAGGCTTATGTAATAGCGTTTTCATCCGAAGCCACACACAGTGAGCGCCCCGCACGTTTGTACGATTTCTCATGAACGCCTTAACGCCGGAAGCCCTTCCTCCTGGTACCGGGTAAGGGTACTGTACCTGGTGTAGAATGTATTTTCTGTATAAGGTTTCGGCCCGAGGTTAATAAATGTACATCGGGGCCAATGAACGCAATGTCCGGTGACCGGTTGTGGGCAAAAATCAAAGGGGAGGATAAAATCCGAATACA